ACTGTGAACAAACATGCTACATAAACAAGTTTTTGGTCAATTAGTTTTGACAATTCACATGATTTTGCAATTCTCACAGTTTTATATAACTAGTAATTGATATTTCTTACAAAACCATCTGGTATTGGGCATCCATATATATATATATATATATATATATATATAAAGATTAAAAAGTAACACATAATAACTTTTTTTCTCTCATTCAAGCTTACAAGAAGTTTATTACACATAAACAAATAACTAATCTGATATACTATTGACTGGTCTGGCTGGATAAGCTGTCACCCTGGTGGAATAAGCATAAACAATCCATGATGAAAAGCAGTGACCTTCATTTCAATCATTATCATAACTATTTTTTAACACTGTCTGAGAAACAAGTTAAAATTCATGAAGAAGAGACAGTAAAAATATATTGTGGGGGACTGCAAGGAGTACAGCAACATTTCTAAATGATGGGTCGTTTGAAGAGTATCATGTAAATTTTACCGATTTGCCACATGATGATCAGCCTGTAACATTTCATGACTAATCATTTCTAGAAGTACTGACTAGACAAAGTAGAATGGATTAGATTTGATTATGACAAAGCATACAGCAGTGGGAAAATATACCTTCATGGAGGATATTCTGAGGAAACCCGAGTCATATTTGTGATACAGGTGAAAAAAACTATAAAAAACCTTATTAGCCAAACTATTTTCATTTCCAGCAATGGAATTCAACATGAATTAATAAGGTTCCATGATTTTAGGAACTTGGCCATGGGTTAGTAAATCTAACTGTAAATATTAGCAAATAAGTTCATCATTTTATACATAGGGTAGCAAATGTGAATGAAATTGCAATATTAAAAAGCCACTATATGGTGAGTGACTAAAATCTTGACAGATAAGCAAAAGCGAAAGAGAATGCTATCATTCTTACACCGGTCCAAGGATGATGACATTCTCTACAGAAGACATACAACACAGAAGAATGTCTACAAAAGAAATGCTTTAATCTTTGACAGTTACAATGATTTGCCAGTGCTTCAATTATACTTATGAAGTCTAAGCAATAATCTATCAGTGGCTATACGTTCCAAATCAGTCTTTTATACAAAAAGATATACTAAAATGCCTCAAACACCTCAGTTCTTAGACAGAAAAATTGCTAAAACTAAAATAATTTCACTCTCTGTATCTTCTGTATTGCCTATGTATTACACTTCCAAGGGAAGAAAAAAGTTATTTTTAACCTTACCTTTTTACTTTTTCTCTTTACATACTTTGCATCCATAAAAGTCCTTACCTAACCTTTATTTTCATAACTGTTGGTCATACACATATACTTCCAGCAACAAAATGTTTTAAATGCAATTATTCACATTTCAGCATTTTAAAAATTAAAGAAATCAATTCTGTAAAAATTATTAAATCTTACTTTCTATACATTCTACTGATCCTTGCAATCATATTTAGGAAATTTTTATACATTAAAAAATAAAACACGAAAAGTGTGACTCCCATATGACAAAAGTTGACCGAGATATTCGATATTAAAATCAGAGCTCATATACAGGAGCTGTACAAAGACGGAAGGGCACATATTTGCATTTTTACATGGTTTAAAATGTTGTTGCATAGATGAAATGATCATATTAAGATAAATGAAGAGAAAGTACTCAAGTCTCAGCTTAAGACTTTATTATTCAAACTCAATAAGTAACTACTAATGTACATTTGATGAACAAGCTGGAATATTTCAATTTGGAAGGCTCTAGAACATTTTCCAATTAATGGAACACAAAGTAAATAAAGTAACAGAAAAGAAACTTGAATAAAATCAACTTTTAGGCTTTTACTTTAAGTTTTATTATCTTACAACTGTTTTTGATAGGTTTCGAACTTGGGACCTTCGGTTTCCAAATCTGATGTCTTATCTACTGAGCCACAATATGCTCAGTCAAAAGAAACAATTTTTGCTACAGTATAACACCAATAAAGAAAAAGGTTTTCTAATGCTAAGAGATTAAGATACAAGCATTTCTATGCAATTATTGTGAATATTATTGATAGTTACAATTTTTTTCAAAATGGAGTTCTTGTTTATAGAATCTTACTGAATTTCTGTTCTAGAAAAGACTGGCAGTACTCAGTACTGGTATGTAGCCCAATTGAAATTATTATTTACATTAATTAAAAAGGAAAACTATTTTTGCCTTCATAAATTTGTTTTTACAATTACATGATTATAATTCTAAGATAATAAAACTTTATGAGAATATTAATAACATATTTTTAAACTTTAGAAACTTATAAATTACTTGTGTGAAAATTCGTTTAGCAACCCAATGTAATAAAAATTATAAATTAAAGATAGCAGTAAAATCATAAAAGAATATCAATGAATGATATTTAAGTGAAAAAAATTCCCCTCAATTTATTCTAATTTATTTACCAAATTGGCCCTTCAGTGCAAAATGAAAATGGCATCAAATATCAAAATTTTGGAATTGAACATCTTGATAACTTTTTCTTTTTTACAAGACCGAAATTTTTGTGTCGAACAAAATTTCAAATTTTTTGTAAAATAAATAAAAATAAAATAAAAACCACACAAAATTTCGAAATTTTGTGTGTAAATAAAATAAAACACACAAAAAATTTCGTTTTTTTACAGATTTTGTACATAAAGTTCGTAGCTTTGAGGTCCAGATTATAGATCATGCCGGATTATGGACGTCTGAATTAAAGACTTTGTACTGTAATTCTTTACACACACACACACACACACACACACACACACACAAAAAAAAAAAAAAAAAAAAAAAAAAAAAAAAAAAATACAGTACAAAGTCTTTAATTCAGACGTCCATAACCCGGCATGATCTATAATCTGGACCTCAAAGCTACGAACTTTCTGCGCATGTGTAAACGCATAATGCGTTTACGCATGCACATAATACCTTTATGCATGTGCATAATACTTTTACGCATACCCATTTAACGTATAACGGACGGTATAAGCTAGGCTAAAATTATCTAATTACCAATTTCAGTTAATGTTGCAGATTGCATTGTTCCTTAATCTTCTAATTGGATCCAGCTTATTATTTTTTGCAGACTGTTAGAGCAATTTTATAAAAAGTAAGCTTGAACTTTCAATTATGCCAAAAAGAGTTTCCGATTTTGGAGCTGCCAAAGGATCTACAAAGCGGAAGCATGTTTCGAAGTACAGCTTCCGATAGTAAAAAAAGTGATAGAGGGGTTATTGAAAATGAAAAAAATTCGATTCACAATTTAGTCAGTATTCTCGACACAGCAATTACAGAACTTGAAAAGTGGAACTGAACAAGAAATTATGTCTGTTTATAGAATTAAAGGGAAAGTATTAGCACAAAAAAACCGAGCAACTTAAACAAATTACATTGAAAGAAATGTTTAATAAAGTAAACAAACACATATTAAGCTTTTTTTTTTTTTTTTTTTTTTTTTTTTTTTTTTTTTTTTTTTTTTTTTGTAAATTTCGATACCCTTTAGATCATAATTCCTCTTTATTTCATAAATTATGGTTTCATATTTTTAATTTTATAATTTCTGCATGCCATCTTGCCATATTTAAATTGATGATCTATAATCCGGAATCGCCGATGTCCTGACGAGTCTGGATTAAAGACTTTGTACTTTATCAATATAGATTTGGGGTGCTGATGCTCTAAGGGGGGCTCCATTCTAATAACTGATGTTGGCTGCACTTACGTTAGTTTGTGTTACCTTGAACATTTATTATAATTCTACAAGAAGCTCTTCAACAATATAACTATGGCAATTGACGATTAATGTTAAAGGCACAAAAATGATTATTTACTGGTAAGTTACTGTCTTCATTATGTGAGGGCCTTGCTAGTGGCAAAAGACTCTAGTTAAAAATTTTAAAAGTATTCTCAGCAATTACTCTGTTGAAAAATTTCACAGACTGAATTAGTCCTACATTCTTAATTTTTGGTTATGTTTTACATTGTCCAATTTGTTATAATTGAGGGTGAAACTAGGAAAGCCACTAAATCATTGGTCTGTCAGCCCCCTGAAATCGAGAGACTTCGACGACAGATACAGTGCAGATCATTAAAATCACTCCGCACTAGTCATAAAGTTATGGCTTTTGCAATGTTAAGTTGAGGCATTACTAAACAAGTAGCTGCTCTTGCAATATCAGAGCATGCCTTCTCACACTCCATAAAAGCTCAAAGACTGAGGCTTGTGAGGAGCCTGCACACACAAATTTCTTTATGCAGTCTGTCACAATTATAAGAAACAGAGGACAATATAAAAAGTTATAATTTTTGCAAAACTGATTTCTTTAAATTTAAAAAATGTCAAAATAAGAATATTTGCATTTTTTAACCCTCTGAGCAGCTCCGGTTTTTGGATCTGTTATGAAGACCTGTATTAAAAGAGCCTTTATTAGCTAAATTTGTATATTTACTTACTTTAGGCTCTATTTTCATAAACTTACATTTATTAAGATGACATTTATATTATTAAAGAAAGTAAGAAAGTAAAATATCGTAAATTATAAGCTAATACATACCAAGTGAGAAGAAATGTCATGACTGGATATAATCAGCCATGGCAGTCAGAGGAAAAATATTTTTCTAATATGAAGCATTTGGCCACAACCAACAGTTGCAAAATTAAACAGTGGGTAAGGATTTTAATGGGCACTATGTATACTACTATAATTATATTTCAGTATAATGCACTATCAATCAAAGGAAACCAATTTTATAAAATCACATTATAAATATATACTTGTAAGTGAAATACATAAATTTTATTTAAAACTTAAATAACAATTTTGAAAGCATTAAGTAACATTCAGCAAGAATGCCATGTACAATAATATAGAGATATACTTCTGAAGCAGATCTAACTAATCATGTTATATTAGCTTCATCAAATTAATTCCGACAGTCAATTATTATGATGCAGCATGAGAATAAATATACTTACTAGACTTTTTCTTTGGTTCAAAATAATCTCCTTCAGATATCTGAGTCACAAGTTTTTTGAAATTACTACCATCAAAAGGCATTGCACCATAAACTAATGTATACAGTAAGACCCCCATGCTCCAACAATCGACCTGTAAAATTCAAATGCTATATGAAATATCATACAGATTCATACTTTAGTAATGTACATGAATGTTAAGTTTCTTACAATGCAATATGTATAAATATGTATAACATTATCATTCAAAAACTTTTCATTTTTATCTCCAGTGATACAATTAAATAGATGGAACAACAGAATAACTAAATCCCCCCCACAACATATGCAGCTCTTAAATTGTAAACCTAAAAAAAAAAAAAAAAAAAAAAAAAAAAAAAAAAAAAAAAAAAAAAAAAAAAAAAAAAAAACCCAGAAGCCGTATACTAAGTGTAAATCAATTGGGACACTTTAAATTGATTTTTCCACAGAATTTTAAGTTGATTGCCTGCCTGTGACAACAGGACCTTAAAAGCACTTTTATTTGTCTCAGCGGTCATCTGGATATCTGCTTTCAATTACTTAGTTTAGACAATATACTAGGATTACTGCACCAATTTTAAGCTTCTTTCTGAAACAGAAATACTTCTGCATTTTTAAATATGTTTTGCATTTGACCATTTTAGTGTACTAGAAATGGATATACTGCTTAGAGAGCAAAAATTATCGCACTTAACCGTCACGCATCCATGATTGCATCGGCACTTGATGTTGGAAAACTGAATGTTTCTCGAATTTGAATGAGACACAATGAAACTGGATCGTTTTCTCCAGAAAAGAAAGACAAATGTGGGCAGAAAATGAAAGCAACGACAAAACCTTAATAATTTCTGTGCCAAATTACCATTATAAATCCAATAAAAACCAGCAAAGACTTTAAAAGGGATCTATTGTCTACTTGTGTTGATATTCATCCTTCAAATATGTGGCATAGATTTCTCTACTGGCTGGAAGGTGAAAAGCCAATTAAAAAACAACTTTTGATACATCAAATAAAGCAAAAATGATTATTGTGAGCCAATAAATACAAATCTTGGACCATAAATGACTGGAAAATTGTTTTTTTCCAGCAATAGGATTTATTTATTCATTCATGGGTCCACATATAACATTGTTAAAGAATCAAGGGTGAATCAATAAGACTTAAACATATCCAACAAACTATAAATAACTCAACTGCTAAAGGAAGGACATATGCCCTACTAATTTTATTATTATCACTGCATATGAAGATGTATATATAAATAAATAAATAAAAATTAAATAATAATAATAAAAAAAAGCTTTTGCCAATTAATTTGCACACTAAAAGCCCGAGTGAGAATTTTATGCATTATAGTTGACTGTTCTTTTAGTCACTTTCTGGATATTAAATCAGATCAGGAAACCTGATGTCTAGAATTCTGAAGTAGCAAAACGATTTTTAATACTATATTATTGGATTGAAAGAAATTTATCATGTAATTTGTGAATTGTAAATTATATGATAAATTTCAAATACATACACAATTTTAAAAACAGATATGTAGCACACAATAATAAATTACAGAATTTCAAAGCCTTACTTCTGGGCCATAATAAGGAACACCTTTCACAATTTCTGGTGAAGCATACAAGGGACTGCCACAATAGGTTTTCAGCAAATTTTTTTCATCGAATACATTAGATAAACCAAAATCTGCAATCTGAACAGTAATTAAACCATTAAACATTAGTATTGCTATAAAAATTAATTAAAATTCAATTACATAAATATTATGCATTTTGACACCAATTTCGATAGAAAATAAATCTGAAATACAAAATAACACAAAACTTACTTTAGCATTACCCTTTTCATCAAGCAATATATTTTCTAACTTTAAATCTCGATGGCATATTTTATTCTAAAACCAATAAAATAACAATTAGATAGAAGAAAATTCAATAAAATTTTACATATTACATTGGCATACACATATATGTATGCATGTAAAGCTTTCATACATATAATACTTTTACAAGATAAAAATATATGTAAGTAAAATGTCTGAGATCCAGAATTTCAATGATTTTGGATTTTAGATCTTCACTTTAAATCTAGTAAGATGACATGCAAAAATTATAAAAATTAAAAATATGAAATGGCTATTTATGGAACACTGAAGCATTAATGATCTTAAGGGAAATTTACAAAAATAAAAAGTTCAATATTTGTTTCTTTGCTTTATCAAACACTTCTTTCAATGTAATTTAAGTAATTTCACATAACTTCTCGTTCAGTTACAAAAATCCATTATTCAGGTCCTGCAACTGCTGTGCCTAGAATTCCCACTAAATTACAAATCAACATTTCTCCATTCAATTTCACCCACATTTTCCAGTAACTTCTCTGTCACTTTCTTCACTATCAGCAGTGACATTTTCTCCATTTAGAACCATACCACAGATTCAAGTAGTGTCTCATTTTAGCACAGTTTAATTCTCAGCTAAGGTTCACTATACACTGTTTGTGATGTACTATGAGATTGGCAACTTAAGACGTGTTGTTCCACTACATTTAGTTTTACCTGTATCATGAACTCTAGAAGTTAAGCCTAAAGCTATTACATTAGCTTAGTTTTTTTTATTATAATTATGTATATTTTCTGCATATTTTTAGTATTTATCTGAGTTCCATGTAAATAAATTTCAACATATGCTTAAGGCTTGTCTAAATAACAAACTTCTTAATTCAAAATATCATTATGAATATCATTTATGAAATCTGTTTTTGGATATTGGATACAATTTCTGTTAAAATTCTTGTCAAGTCACTCAACACTTCACAGCACAGTTAGTTGGCTGAAGTCTACTATCATCCCCAAATGTAATGTTAACATGTTACTATGCTGTTTGGTATTTAATTACTAATATTTAAAAACAAATTATTTTAGGCTTTGCTGCCTGAATTATTTCTTAGCTGCCATGAGTTGATACTCACATGGTCATGAAAGCAAAAAAACTATAAAAAATGATTGCCAGGTTGGTGTCAGGTATATAAGTTATTCAGCAGGTGTAAAATCAATGATGAACTTTGGTAGAATGTTTTGGTTCGAGATGTATACCAAGTGAAAAGGGGGCTATGAAGCCAACAAGTTATATAAATGAGTTTAAATTTATAAATGATGATGTTTCTTCAACATGCAGGTGTTTTGGCTTGGTTTGGTTTATTTACTTATGGCAAAGCACTCGAGGGCTATCAGCCTAAGGAGAAGGATGAATTTGATGGAGGATTTTTTAAAGGAAACTGAGTCACATACATGTTACACATGGGCAAAACCAGAAAATTGCCCAGGCAGCCAGCCCATTCGTTGGGATTCGAACCCCAGACCAAACTACCAGTGTTTAGTGATCTTACTGCTCGGTCACTGGTGGGCTATGGACTTGTTTTATTTCTGAAATTAAAAATCAGGCTTTTCACTTGCTTTACAATGAAAAACTTTCTATTGCACATATGTGAAGCATTAAACACATATTAAAGCAATATGCTACTTTTGGAATTTAATTTTTTTTCCCTTTTGTAAAAAGATTTAAAAAGAAAAAGGTGTTTTGTGTATCATTTTACATACTGAATCTCCATTTTAGATTTTATACTGCATATACATGTTGTTGGGAATGGTATCACTACACCAACGAATCAAAGGCCAGATAGAGACTAACGTCATAGGACGCCAGAGGAAGATGATTAGTTGCAATTTAGAAAGCTAAGGACGATGTTGTTTAAAAAAAAAATAAGATATATGTGCCAATCACAATACTTACTTAATGTTAGTTGGCAACAGTAGTGTTATCGTGTTGTCCTTATCTGGAGTGCATTACTGTGGTTGCTTGTTTCCATGTAACCAAAATATTCCCAATATATTTGATTGTTCAACCTGAACTATGTCATTTATTTAACCCACAAATAATTTAAATTTTAACACATTATTAGCACAAAGCTCAAAAGAAAATGCCATAACGATCCAGGATTGAAGATCGCGCCAAAGTCTAACTGCGCCGATTGCCGAAGCCTAACCACATTATGAATCTGAAGTGAGTTGGATAACCTTTGACGAAGTAAATAAATTTTTTTCTGGTGAATTTAGCTCGATATATTTACTTGAAGAATGACATCTGAAGATTATAAAATGCCGAAACTAAATGGCGACAATTATAACATATGGTGTATCTGTTTGCGTGCCGTGCTGGTGTAGAAGAGATGTTGGGATATGGAATTGAAATGAATAAAGCAGAGAGGGAAAAGAATGATGAAGCTCTTATCCTATTATTCCTCATAGTTGAATATACATTTCTAGATGACATCGGAGATTGTGTTAGAGCCAGAGATGCCTGGAGAACTGTTTAAAAGAAATGCACACAAAATTTGGTTTGCTTCACATACTGCAACTTATGAGAGAATTCTTTAACATAAATATGAAACCAAATGAGTCTGTCCAATCCTATCTATCAAAATTAATAGACTTATATAGAAAATTAGTTAATGGTGGATATGCATTTACAGATAGAGAAGTGGCCGTAGTGATGCTATTGGGACTGCCTAGAAGTTATGAATCACTCATCCTAAGTTTGGAAAAAGACAAAGCAAATCTGACAACTATGATTGTGAAACCAAGGCTACTTGTAGAAGAGAAACGTATAGTTAGAAATGAGAGTTCAGCCAAAGTGTATCATGAAGAACAAGCTCTTCACACTAAAAGTTTTGCCACCAACCAGAAGAAGCCTGCATTTGGAAAACCCGTGAAGAAGTATGCAGCAAAAAGGCCAAATGAAGAAGAAACTAACAGAGGAAGAAATACTAAATGCTTCAGCTATGGCAAATGGGGGCACATCTCTAAAAATTGTGAAGAAGCCAAATATCAGAACCAAAACAGCAGTTGACCTCAAGACAAATATTGCACTTCTGGAAAAAAGAAAAATCAAGGAAAAGTAATCTATGGATTTTAGACAGTTGAGCTACAGAACACATGACCTCTGATAAAAGAAAATTCTCAGACCTTAAGAAGTACACATCTGAAGTTGAAGTTGCTAATTCAGAAAGAATAAAGGTCACTGGAATTGGAAATATTTCATTTTCTGTTGGAGAAGAAGATGGAGAAAAAAACGTCCCTATTGAAAATGCCCTATATGTTCCAGAACTAGGAGGAAATATATTATCCATTGGTAGAATTGAAGAAAGAGGTTTAAAAGTACAATTTGCTCAAGGAAAAGCCAGAGTGATTAGTAAGAATGGAGACACTCTTCTATCTGGGGTGAGAAAAAAGGAAGACTGTACATAATCGAAGAAGAGATGACAACTGCTTACGTTACGAAAACTGAAAGTGCCGACTTCTTGAATCGTACACTTGGTCATGCACACTCTTCTACAACAAAAAATATTATCCCCATCGGTAGAAACCTGAAATCAACAGTATTAGTAAATGCACCTTGCCAAGTCTGTATCCATGGAAAAATGAAAAGGAAGAAATTTCCAAAGGCCACTAGTGGAAAAGCTAAAGACATCCTAGAAGTTATATATTCAGATATTGTTGGTAAAATATCTCCCCCTTCGTTTGGAGGCTCAAATTACTTTGTGACTTCCACAGATGAATTTTCTCACCATATCATGACATTCTCTATGAAAGCCAAAAGTGAACTAGAAAAATTTGAGGAGTACCGTTGCATGGTAGAAAATTTCCAAAACAAAAAAATCAAATTCCTGAGAAATGACAATGGTGGGGAATATATAAGTGAAAAGTTTGACAAGTATCTCGCTGCGCATGGTATTCAAAGACAACTAACTGTACCTGAGACACCCCAACAAAAATGGTCTGGCAGAAAAACTGAACCAAACATTGATAAACATAACAAGATGCTTACTTACATGGTCAGGACCAGATCACAGGTTTTGGGCTGAAGCAATAGCCACTGTGGCCTATCTCCACAACAAGCGCCCATCTATGGCAATTGATGGCGATATTCCAGAGGAAAGATGGTCAGGGTCTGGAAGCAAAACAGACCACCTCAGAGTTTTCGGATGCAGAGCCTGGAGTCATGTTCGATCACACTCAAGAGGAAGTAAGCTTGATCCTAAAGCTACAGAATGTGTTTTTGTGGGCTATCCTAAAGGAGTTAAGGGCTACAAATTGTATGACCTGAAGAAGAAACATTTTTTTTTTTTTTTTTTTTTTTTTTTTTTTTTTTTTTTTTTTTTTTTTTTTTTTTTTTTTTGTTTTTTTTTTTTTTTTTTTTTTTTTTTTTTTTTTTTTTTTTTTTGTTTTTTTTTTTTTTTTTGTTTTTTTTTTTTTTTTTTTTTTTTTTTTTTTTTTTTTTTTTTTTTTTTTTTTTTTTTTTTTTTTTTTTTTTGTTTTTTTTTTTTTTTTGTTTTTTTTTTTTTTTTTTTTTTTTTTTTTTTTTTTTTTTTTTTTTTTTTTTTGTTTTTTTTTTTTTTTTTTTTTTTTTTTTTTTTTTTTTTTTTTTTTTTTTTTTTTTTTTTTTTTTTTTTTTGTTTTTTTTTTTTTTTTTTTTTTTTTTTTTTTTTTTTTTTGTCAGCAGAGATATGATTTTTGAAGAAAATGTTTTCCCCTTAAAACTAAGCAAGTGTGACAATCCTGCAGAAGAAGCTACTCTTAAAACTGAAGACTTTTAATCAGAATATCCCTTGGACCTACTTGAAACAGAAGCTCGTGACTCATCTCTAGATCACGTAACTCCTGATGTAAATGACTTGGATGAAACTCAACATCTAAATACAGATCTGATTGACCATAATTCTGAAAGATGTCCAGACCTACAGCCTGAAAATACTCCATATTACGAAGCTGAAGGCCAATCAGTTACACAGATACAAGATGTTGTTAACAACCTAGACCCTGAAGTTGAAGCAGCA